ATCAGTGTTAAATAAATACAAATATCCCATCCCCAAAGACGGCGAGTCTGAGAATTGCCTGGTCCACACCGTGCTTTACAAGTTTTTCTGTTCTCCTGGCCGGACTCCTCTGCTGGTCGCGGGGAAAGCGAGTGAAGGAGCGAGCTGGAAAAAATCCTCGCTGCCAGAATCCTTGCCATCCTTGAGTTAATAAAACACGAACCAGCCGTGGGTCGGAGTTCCCGGAACGAGGCAACGACACTGAGCTGCGGAAAGCGGAGATCCGCAGCCCTTGGGAAGTGAGGGCAGGTTCTTCTCCAGGCGTCCTCCGGGTAGGAGCCTGGCAGAAAAGATGAAAAATAAACTGTTTATAGTAAAATAAAGGAAATCCGTTTCAAGTACCCAGAGTAGGAGCAAGAACGTTAAAAATTAACAGCGGAAACAGGAAACACTTATCTGAGTAAACATTGTCTCAGAATTTCACCGTTTTAAAATTGGGAGGGTGCGAGGTGCTCGGCGGGGCAGCCGCAAGCCTCCTCCCGCTGCGGTGCCTGCGGTGGGGGCCGCCGCCGACCGCCCCGTTCCGTAGCCAGAAATCGGAGCCCGGCCCGACGAGACAACCCGATCGTCGTCAGCCAGTTTGGTGGCAAAGATCGGAACTGCAGGAGTTCCTGCGTGGTGAGAGATGAACAGTCCAGAAGTGATGTTTGGAAGGCAGGAGCACTCTGCCGCCGGGGCTAAGGAACCGGCGGTTCGGGGCCGCGTCGAAGAAGAAAAGAGGAGCATGGTTGGCGGAGGCGGAAGGAAGAAGAGCTCGCCCCTGTACCGGCCATGGCAAGACTTGCTTTGGCCGCGCTTTGAAAATCCCCAGCGAAATAAGCGACTCCTGGGGCAGCGGTGCGGCGGCGGAGGTGACGGCGGTGGCCCGGCGGCAGCGGCCAGAGGACCAAAGGCATCGCCTCTTCGGGAAGGGCCCCCGCCGCTGCCGCTGCCTCCGCCGTCGGGTTTCTGTGCCCCCCATCATTCAAAAATCGAGTAGCGTCGTTTTCTCACGGCTGGAGCTTTCCTGCAGCTCCCCCAGTGCCGCCCGGGTCCCCGGCGCCGCGGTGGTGCCTCCCGCCGCTTCCCTCTCCTGCCCACGGGACGCTGCCGGTGTCGGAAATTTGCCGGCGGTACCCGCCCGCCGCAGTCGGTTTTCTGGAAGTCAGGGGCGCAGGTTGTTGAGAGAAGTGGTCAGTGCTGGGGGACAGCCATCTCGGTTCAGCAAACTCGTCATGCTCCTTTTTCTCTCCCTTCCTATTTCTGCATTCCGTCTCTCTGTTTCTATCCGTCTTCTCCAGAAGCGTATGGAGCTTTTTTTGCTCCCTCTCTCTTGCTTTCCCCGAGGCTGGGTCCCCATTCTTGCCGGACACAAAAGCGCTGCTTGGAGCCGCAGGCAGCTGAAACAGGGCAGAAAATTTGGTCAGACGAAGGCAGAAAAACATCCTTTTCCAGCCGGCACAGACCACTCCTGCCACTGTCCTTGACCAGATTGCTTGTTGAACAAGCTCAGACTTCGCCTTTATCCTTCCATCTATATAAACGCAACGTCGGATAATGAAAAGGTTCCCCTTACTTGCACCGAGAGGAGATTTCTTTCCTATCAGGGAGAATTTAGGTACATGTGAAAGGAAAACCTGTCACTATGTATATGCAAAGGAAAATATTGTGAAACCGGGAAGGCTGACATAGCAGCTTCACAAGTAGAACACCAAGATGCTATCTTTGATCGTCCTCCCAGTTGTGCTTAGCAGTATATACGCATCGCAGTGCCATCTGCACAGGGCCAGCAACAAACCAAAAGTTTCACATGGCAGCACAAACATCCTCGGCGGCTTTTGCAGCTCGGCAAGAGAGCTACTAGAGCGTTTGTTCTTGTTCACACAGGAGATGTCAAATTGGGAGATGTGGAAAATACTTTAAGAGCTCAGTAAATCTCGAAGGGAAATAACCAACTCATGTTTCACTGCAGAGTGCTTCACGGGCACTCCACAAAGACCGAGAATAGCTCCGTATTGATGCTAGCAGCAGTGATTAACTGCTATTTCGAGTAAAATTAAGCACATTTTGATCAGTGTGCTAACGTACAAGCCTCTGCTGCAGGTTCAGCGCTGGTTTTTGGGATAAATAATTCAACCACTACAGTGTGATTCACTCATGTAGCTGAGGCAATCGTGTCAAGATGGACATTCGGTCACATTGAGAGATATCTTTATATTAAAACGTATTTAGCTCTACTGAAGCTTTAAAAAGTAATCCAGGGTAGCACAGGCAGAACACGGCACTTGCTATCACAAAAAAAATCAAGTTCTTCCCTTCCCAGATAGTGCAGTTTAACAGGGGCTAAGTTTGAGCAGATAGGAGGTAAAACCTGTGGCTGACTGGGATGTGAGGATGCACCATTTGCTTATTTTCAAGAATAAATAGGGGTCAAATAAAGAACAGCGAATGTTTTCAAGACAGGCTACCAAAGCAAATCACTACAAATTCTAGAGGGTTTTTTCCCCCGCTTTGTTATTTTAGCATGCTATACTATGCTGTTCACTAAAATCTTTGGTACACCCAGAAACACTTCCCATGAGAACAGTATGTTTGTGCTTTAACACCACATTATCAACAGAGGTAATTTGCTACTTTTCAATGAATTATCCCTTTTATTTATTTCTTTGATCAGCTATAAATGAAAGTTATTCGTGTATATAAAACTGAAGTTTTTACTGTTGAAATTGAACTGTACATGTTTACTACAGGAAAAAATATCAACTCTTGTTTAACAAGACATTTACATCAATAAGCAATAACCTTGTGGAGGATTTGCAATCACCTGGTCTATAAAAACAAGCAGGACAAGTAACAGCAATTTATATGCAAAAGTAATGATTTAATGACTATAAGCAAGACAAAGCAATAAGAATTGTGCTTCTTTTGCAGACTGGAGACAATGAAATGTTTAACTACAATTTTTCCGTACAAACATGAAACAATATCCATATAGAATAAACACCCTCACAAATGTATAACTGATGGGTGATGAACACACACAAAGTTCGACCAAAGCAAAGCACAAACTGAAAAGTGTTCTGGGCTGTTCATATTTTATGGTGGAAAAGTTCCTCCTACTGAAAAAACCCCACCCTTAGAAGCCTCTAATGAAATGCACCTACTTGCAGGCCATTAAAGAGAAGGCATTCTCCACAATTTATTGGAAATATTAAAGTACCAGTTAAATTTTAATGAAGTTAGTACTGTACCACATACATATATATTAAAACAAATTTAGATAAAATGCCTTCATCCAGCCACTTGCTGGTTCCTTAAAATTTATATCAAATAGTTTATGGCTTCTATAATGATTCCATGTGCTTTTAAAAACACAGTCCCACCACACCAAATAATAAAAAGGTAATCAAACAGGTCTAAAACTTCCATGTCCCTTGATTTATTTTTTTTTTTCACTGTATCACTTCAACATTTGGTAAAGTAAAAATATTCCACTTGGAAGAAAAAAAAAAAAAAAAGACAAAGCAAGTAAAATCCTTTTAAGATTGCCAATTGCCTCCAGGTTATCAGAGATTTGAATGTGCTTTCCCAATACTGTAGCTCTCACACACAACGTGTTTCTTGCAGTATGAGCAAAGCTCAAACAGGCGGCATCTGCAAGGGTCGAACCAGTTTAGAAATTTAACAACCATATCATGAGTGCATGAAACACAATATTTTCTTTATAGTATTTATAAATATATCATACAATACTGTTTCCTGTTATGTCATATACCAATATGGCATTGTACAATAAGCATAATGCCATCTGATTCTTACAAAAGCGAATCATTTAAACAAGTCAGTAAATAAAACGGTAATACCCGCTTTTAGGCATACAGATTGTAAAACTGAAGTTTACTTTTCTTTTGATCGGTTCTGCGCAGCAACAGAGAAGTAAAAGATGCAACATAAGAATCAAAATGGCTAATACGCAAAAATTGTTATTCACAGTGACATGGCTACATATATGCATTTTTCTATGCATATTCTTTCAATTTTGTTGGATTTCAAGATGAAAAGCACTTGCTTTCTACAGGTTCACAAAACAGTATAAGAACAATAACAATCAAAGAGAACGCAATGGAGGAGTTAGTCTGGATTAACAAACTACTTCCCAGGATTTGTATTGACTTCTGGAGTCTCCTGGCTCCAGATGATGGGGACAGAAACAACTCCACATCATTCATAACAGGTGAAGGTGTAACTTTTGTTTGCTTCCCAGTCCTCTGAAAACAATTTACATTTCAAACTTGCGTTTCCATTAACGTCCATCCTGAATGTCACCTAGTCCGCCTTTTATAGCCAAGTTCAGTGTTACTACAAAAGAAAGCAATTTGGATGATAGTCACATGGATTAGCATCTATAAAGCTGTAATGGCATGGAGAGATCTATATAAAGGAGGGGCAAGGGTGGTAGCCTGGTTGGCACATCAACCAGATGAAGTGGCTGAGGAGCCATTTATTGATGTTTTCCGAGCTCTGTTGGTAAAGGAGGACTGGTGGTTACTGCTGGGGCTGCTGCTGGTGCCATTCATGGTGCTGGAGATGTGGGGGAACTGGGGGTGAGGAGACTGGACTGGTGTGCTGGGGCTGGGCAAACAGGAGGAGGTGGAGGGGATGCCTCCTGCTGGGCTGCTCGCCTTGTCGCTCCCAGAGTCACTTTCCAGCTCCCCACTGTTGTTCAACCCTTCCCTCTGGTGACTGATCTTCATCCTCTTGCAAGTAGGTCGGACGCGGTATTTCAAGGGCAGAGGCCCATTCTGCAAAGCAAAAGGGAGACCCTGGTAAGTGCCCTGCCCAGGCCGTGACCTGCACCCTCCTGGGAGCATGCTGGAAATACTCACCCGCCTCCAGGTGTAGATGTAGGCAATATCCATTAGGGTGTAGTAGTCCTTCAGAGGCTCCTCTTCATACATCACATCGATCTGCGCAAGATACAAACCCTTACATTAAGAAGCATCCAGGCATTTACCCCTAGCACATGACTGCTCTGAGGTAAAAATAGCCCCACTGTCACAGATATCACAAATACATCAAGGAGCAATTTTTTAATACTTTGGTATTTACAGCACTAAAAAAATTACAGTGTCACTGAACTCTACAGACAGATATTTTAAAAATAAACCAAGTAACGTATGGCACACACCAGAAATACTTGGCTGCTACCACTTGCTGCGACTGGCTGTAATGAGAAAATGAGTCATACCAAAAGAAACCCCAAAGAATGCAAACAAACAAACAAAAATCACTCTTTCCCCATGGGTACCTGGAAAGTGTTAGGTATATCCATCTTACTCCGCAAGAACTTTCTTAGATGCATCACTGTCATTGCTGCTGGGCAGCGCAAGTATCTTTTGTCATTCACCTAGTGGCATAGTAAAGAAAATCAGTCTACTGAGAATGAGCAATTACTCCCACCAATGATGTATTCTAACGTTTCATGTTGAAAAAAGTGCACCTTACTAAATTATGAACTGTAATACAACAGTGCCTGCTGTCTTTGGAGGGCAAATTGGAAATAAGCGACAATTACCATTCTAGAGAAAGTAATTTAAAATTGTAACTAAATATGTATGCAAATATTTGTATCATATTTAGTATCTTTTAGGGTACCTATGCAATGCATATTATTTTTTAATAAATTATTACATATTTTCCCAGACTTTGACAGAAAATCATATTCTGCTTTAGAAATAATACTGCAGGTATTTTTAATTTTAAAAACTTGGCTGCATATGCAGCTGTATGAAAATGTTTCACCTCTTCTGTACCTAGTACCATAACAGTAGGTGTGCCTCCTTTGTTCTAGATACACATAACTACATATTTTTCTCAGCTACAGACCTGCCCCAAAGTTGTGTGTGTCTGTGATATGTTTCCTCTAGAGTAAAGGAAAGTTATTTACCTCTTCTTTTGATTTTTCTTTCTCCTTATTTCCTTTTCGCTCCAGTCTGTGAGAAGAAATTATACAATTACAACAAATAATAAATACAGGTGCTATCAGATAGGTAAACATAAAATTTTGCCATTCTGGAACTTGCCTATTCTGGTCAAAGAATTCAATGGATAAGCTTATTATCTCGTCGTCTGTTATAATTCTTTTGTCTTCATCAGCCACTTCTCCCCTGTCTTCATTAGAGCCATTGGCAGCTGCACAGAAATTTCCACGATAATTTACATTTTGAAATTCAAATCAGGAAGAATTGCAATTCTCAGTAACAAGAAAAAACATCTTCACAGTAAGATAATGAATGAAAGCTACCTGACTGTTAAAACAATAAACTTTTATTATGCTGACTTTTAAAATTCTGTGACGGTAATACATCACTTGTAAATTAAGAAGGAAACAGTAAAACATCTAGCTCAATGCTACACATATTAAAGTTGCGAACGAGAAGCTTTTACCATCAGCCGACGGATGAGCAGCATAAAAATCCCTTCTTCTTTTCATTTCATCTAGATGGAAAAGCATATATTTTTCTTTTAGTAGTTACTCTGTAACTCACAGTATTGATATAGGATAGCAGCTCTGATTTTGTTTTTCTGCTCTTAATAAAATACCTGATTTAACTACTTACTTTTGAAAAGGCCTGGTACTAGCTTGTATACAATATCTTGGAGAGTTTTATCTGACCTGAAAGAAGAACAACCCCACAACATAAAATTAAGCAGATGAAGCAATATTTTAATCCAAATGGCAGCTCCTCACTTATAAACTTTCACAACAATGAGGCATCTTCTACAAAGTGGGAAGCCAGTCATAAAAAGTTAACTTACAGGACCTTGTAATCAAACTAACTCTGCTCTAAATACCGCCCTGAACCAGAATCCATGTTACCACAATTGAAAAAGTCTCTCAGACTGAAGGAAGGCCTTAAAAACTACATGTCCTCCCTAGAAAGTACAGAGAGCAAAATTCAGTGCTGACAACAAAAAAGTTTCTGAAAGGCAGGTGATATTTTAAAGGCTTTTGCCTCTTAGTTTGGGAAGTTGCAGCAGGAGTATTCATGACTAAGACCTGTGGTTGGAGTGATGCATGTCTTGGAGATACAGAAAACAGAGGCAAGAACTGTCGGGGTGATAAAGGGGAATGGGGGAGAGGGAAGAGGCATCAGTGACTGGTGCATGCTAAAACAGACCAACAAAAACTTTCTGTCTCACATCTAGAGGCATCTTCAGTTTCAGTCAGTGAAGGAACTCCAAAGAGAGCACATAAACACGAGGTAGCTTGTAAATTGACAAGTCCTTTCAGATTTAAATTGCAGACCTAGAGATAACATTGACACCGACTACTGCTGGTCTTCCCATATAAAGCAAAACGAGAGATGCAGCGCGCAACTTTCTCCTACCTTATATTCAAAAGCGGTCGAGTTTTGTGAACTTGGACATCACAGATAGGACAATACTTGCTGGTCTCCAAGTAACGCACGATACAGGTCTTACAGACTGTAAGTCAAACACCACAGGCTTTTAGTGATGCTCCTAGGTGCCGCTCAGATATGCATAGATAAAGGTGCGATTTTCTAAACTATGCAAGCTAGAGCAAATCGTCCATTGTCAGCAACACGCTGCTTAAGCTAAACAACTACCCAAATAAGCTGCAATTACCATGAAAAGGAGACGCTTATAGTACATATATTATTACTTTAACAAAGACCGTAGGGCCGTCCTCAGAAAATCTGCACCGCGGCTGGAACACCTACTTCCCCTCCTGTCGGGGAGGAGGACGGCGTCGGTCCCGAGCCCCTCGGGGGATTTGGGCTTGGGGGATTTTTTTTTTTTGTGTGTGTGTTCCCGGGATGCCGGGAAAGGAGGGAAGCGGCGGGGGGGAAAAGCGCGGAGCGCCCGATCGTACTTACAGGAGTGGAGGCACTCTATGATGGTCGTTGCATCAATGAAGTACCCACCGCAGAGCACGCACATGAGATGGGGGTTTAGCTCGGTTATTTTGATTCTGGTTGTTCGGTGCATTTTGGCGTGGCGAGGAGCGGCTCTGAAATACACACACACACAGAGAGGACCGGTCAGCGGGGACGAGCGCGGCGGCGTCCCAGGTGCCGCGGTCCGGCGCATCCCCTTCCCCCGTGCATCGCATCGCATCCCCCGGCGCAGAGGAAGACCAAGCGCGGAAGACGAAGGCGGCGGCGGCGCGGGGCCGGGCGAGGGCCGGTCCCGAGGCCGGCGGGGCGTCCCCGCACCGCACCGCCCCGGGCCGGCCTGGGCGCAGCCCCGCGGAGGGGCGGTCGTTCCGCGGCACCCACCGCGCCGTTCCCCGGCGGGCACGGGCCGTTCCCGCGGCGCGGCGGCACCGGCCGGCTCGGGCTGCGCGGGCGGCTCGGCGGCGATGCGGCGGGGAGCTCCGGGGGCGACACGGCGGGCACCGGGCTGCCGGCGAGCAGCACAAAGGGGAACCAGCGCCTCCCGGTGCGGCTGCCCTGGCATTTCCGGAGCGCGGGGAGGGGCGGCGGGGGGAGGGACGGAGCGGGGGGGACACACGCACCTCGGAGCGGGGCCGGGCACCGGGGCGGCGGGGCCGGCCCGCCGGGGGGGTCCGGGCGGCTGCTGCTGCGGCTCGGTGCCGATCCGGATCTGCTCCGCTCTCCGAGGGGGTTGCTATAGCAACTTACACTTACACTTGGCATCCTGCCACCGCTGGGAACACACGAGAGCCGGGCGGGGGGCGGCCGGGGGGGCGGGCCGGGCCGGGCCGGGCCGGGCCAGGGGGTGGGACGCGAGGCCCGGGGGCTGGCGGAGGGGCTGGAGGAGCCAAGGAGCCCGCGGGGGTCTGGGAGCCCGGCTGCGAAGGGAGGGGAGGGGGAGGGCGGGAGCGGCCCGGGCGGGGTCGGGTGCCACAGCCCGGAGGGTGCCCGGGCGCGGTGCGGGGCAGCCCGGGCGGCGGGGGCGGCCCCGGGCTTTGGGGTCTCAGCCTGGCGGAGGCGAGTGCCAGAGGCTCCTCCCGAGCCTCGGCCATTTCGGATCCTCTCAGGGGCCTCTCTCCACGTCGACTCGGTGCGAGGAGCTGGTCTGAGATAGCTCCTCTCCCCCTCCGCGCCCTCCCTCCGGCGAGCAGAACCGCGCCGCGCTCCCGGGGACCGAGCCCCCTGCACCACCAGTGGGGTGCCGAGCCCCAGCTCCCGCTCCACCGCGCCGGCATCCCCTCTTCCTCCTTCTCTGCTTTCCTCACTTTTCTCCTTCCTACCTTTCTCTCACCCCCAACTCATTTTCTTTCTATTTCTTTCCTTCTCCCACCTTTTGACGCTTGTTTGAAAATCATCCCGCGGACGAGGCAAGCGCGGTGCAAAGTTTTGCAAAAGGTGTAAGGAGATTTACATCACCAGAGTAAGGTGCTTGGACGGGAGAAAACAAGTCTCCGGATGCTCAAGTAACCCTCCTTTTCAGCAATAAAGCACACCGAGAAGGGGGAAAAAGCCCAAACCGACTTTAAACGGTACATTAGTGACAACATGCGAAGGACCATGTGACCAGATCATTCCTAAAGCTAAATCAACACCTTGTCAACACAATGCAGAGACAAGAGTGAAAAACAAATGTCATTTTCATAGTCTGAAACCCATGAAACCCCATCGGATGCACTGGCACCAACGCTACATGTATACACGCTGTTTAAAATGAGAGGGAATACCAGATAAAGGGAAAAGCACACACGGGGAAAAAACCCTGTCAGCCACGTCAATTGTAGAGTAAATTATTTTCTGTCAACCAGATCCTGAAAAATGTAAAGTAACAACGTTGCTCCAGTACAAGCTATTAATTTCCCCAGGTCAGTGCTCCCAGCACACCAGCTCCTGTCCTTGGTTCCCTCTCCTCCCGAGGCAGAGCTTGAGAGCCACCTCTCACCGCAGCACCGTATGCTCAAGATGCGAGCAGCCTACTCGCAAACTTCAATGTTAGGCAGAAAAAAAGAAAAAAAAAGAAAAAAAAAAAGAAAAAAAAAAAAAAGAAAGAAAGGGCTAAGCTAAGCTTTCTAAAAGCTTTGAACGCCAGCCAAACTGACCAGGACAGGGGTACAATATTCGTCAGAAGTGTGCACAGCGCCAACGAGCGACCCCGACCAGGAAACTTCTCTTGTTGCTGCAGGAGAACCCTCGAGTGAACAGCAGATAAAACCCCCCAACATCAAACCATAGCCGACCAGCACAAAGAAAAGCAAAGTTCCAGAAGCACCAAGCCAGACCAGGTCCCCAAAGCTGTTCCCAGCACAGTGCGGGAAAGCAAGACCCCCGCTGCATTGTACTGCGGTTTAAATGTCGCTTCCAGGGTCCCTGACCCTCCGCTTCTTCCTTTTAAACTGATACCGAGGTTTTGCTTTTCCCAGAAAAGGCAGAGACGGAGTTTCTGCATGCCTCTCTGAAGTACCCAGCGCCCTGAAGCCGGCGGCTCTGGACTCCCTTTAGGTACTTACATATGGACAGGCTGCTTTCACGGTTCTGTGTTTTATTTGTTCAAGTCACTACCTTATAATTCATAAATATCTAAACCAAAAAAAATACCCCAGCAGTGACCGAGGTCACACAAGTCGGCTGACCGAGAATTCCTTCCCAGCCCTGACAGACTGGGACAAACCTTTCAAGACATTAACGCGTTTATTTCACGCAGGCGTAGCCCCTTCCTAAATGGAGGGGGATTAAATTCAACCGTGAAACCTGTTTTGTCGAAGCAACCCCTAAATGCGGATTATTTATTGCCCAAAGTTAAAACATTTTCAACGTGCTATGAGCTATCTTGAAAATCAGTGATTTTCCCCAGCGAGCTGAACTAGGAACCTAATTTCTCCCCAAAAGCGACCCGCACAGGCACACGCGTGTCTGTGCCTGCGGGGATGTAACATGAACGCAGCACATTTTACTACGGCAGCCTGGGTTCAATATCTTGGTACGAGGGAAACCCTTTCAGATGTTTTTTCTGCTCCTGCTGATCGCACGGTGAATGCCAACACTTCACAGAAATACAAACAGCCTCTTAGCCGGGACAATATATATTTACACACTGACACATGGAGCAACTAAACATAAAATATATGTGGATAATACCTGCTAGAAGTAAACACTGCCAGCCAACTGATTATACAGAGGCCTCAAACAAGTTATGTCAAAATGAAGAAAAACAGAAGTGCATTCTCCTGCTAAGAATCAGATACATTATTAAAAATCCCATAAAGGCAATAAGCTATCAAACCTTGCTCGACAGGTCTCTAACAGAAAATACATACATAAAAAATAGAAGCATCGCTCGGGTAGGTTTGTGTACTTTGTACCCATCTCCTCTCAGAAAACTCTCATCAGGAATAAAGCAGCCTTCATTCTACATCTTCACCCATTATCAGCTAGAGCCACTTGTACTATCGAGCCTGTTATTACTCTTTCGCTTAAGAATGGCCGCATATGTTTTAAAGGAGGGGACAGTAGTTCTTTCAGATGAGACACACGAACCTCAAGTATCTCTGCGCAACTCGCAGCAGTGAGAAAAGACCTGAATATTGGCAACAGAGTGCAAAAGGACCCTGGTCTCTTAAATCACCTCCCTGGGACTAGGCGTAAGACAGAATCCATCTACTTTTTAAAATACACTACAATGCTAATTTTGTAATATCTAAGCGATCAGGTAGGTCAAGACTTCACCAGTGTCCCTGGTAAAGTGCAACACAAGTCTCAGTTTCCAGGACGGGCTGCACAGAGTCACTCAAAGTAGTTTTACTGGACTGTACTGGACGTCCCTGGTCTTAGGGACAGTCCCATAACAGAAGCTGCTCTCTCCACTACAGACTACGCAAAAAAATTCTTTTAGCGCCAAGCTTGCAAAGGGGCACACATGCCCGGGTTCTCTTCGAGTTTTCTGGAGAGTGGAGGAGTGAATCAAAGTTTTTGGAGGCTGAAAAGTTACTGCTTCACTTTTATGGAAATGCGATTTTTTTTTCCTGCTTATTTTTACCTGATTATTTACAAATGTTTACATCAAACACCCAGAAACATCCCGCTTTATAAATTGCTAAGGCCATTCAATTATAAAAAGAAAACACCAGCAACTTTCAAATGCTGCCCATAAGCAGCACGAGGAGCCCACTCCTGACATCTTTAAGATCTGACAAAAGATTTCATGTAAATTTACCCTTCCCGGGCTCAGGGAAAAAAAAAAAATACCAACCAGAGAAAAGAAATTCACACACACCACCCCCCCTCCGCGTCCCGCAGACACATCACCTTTGCTCCAAAGGCTCCAGCAAACCGCCCGCCCCAGCTCCCCAAGAACGCATTAAAAGTGCTATCCTTACCCCCCAAAAAAGTTCTTTCTCGGCGTTGACCACCCCTTGCCTCTCCCAGTAGGCACAAACCCCTAAAGTTCAGCATTTAGAGCAGAAATGTAAGAGGAGACATTGGAAACAACTGGGAACCGCCATCTTACAACCCATCCAATTTCACAGAAGTACTTGTCCAACTTAAGTTAATAACATTTTCTGCTGGGTGCCCCGGCGCCTAACAACCCCCCCAGGAGGATCGCTACCCCCCGCTGGCTCCGTCTCTATAAAATGGGTGCGTTATCTGACATTTTAACCCCCCCCAGACACATTTCTTTCGGGGAGGACTGAAATCACTTGACCCAGGCAGCTCCAGATTTCACGAACGTCCCTGTTTAATCAAAATCTGCCTTTAAACAAAGGGCGCTCGGGCCGGGCTGGCAGCAGGGTCGGGAAATATAAATATTCTCCTCGGGGGCCATGTGCACAGAAAGGTTTTAGGGGGCGTCTGGAGAAAGAAAGGAACTAAAATTTGCAAATGTGGGTGCGTAACGCGAGCGAGTGCACAGGCTGCTGCTGCTGCGTGTCTGTATGTGTGTGTGTGGCTAGAGCAGCCTGTCAGCGCTTTTCCCATACGGAGAGCTCGGGGGACACCTAGGCGCCCCTTTGCAGCCCCCAAACCGGCCGAAAACCGCCGCCGAGCCCCCTTCGCCCCCCGCCCTTGGTAAGGCGACACCTCGCTTCATACGTACCCGGAAAACGGAGCCGGTGGGTGATGATCGGAGCGGCCAAAAAAGACAATGAAAGTTAAAAGTCGTTCAGCAGAAAATGAATGTGAGCCAAGCGGCCATCTTGAAATGAACTGCAGACGCTGTCAATTGCAATAAGCTTATTGCCGCCGCCGCCGCTGCGCTCCGCTCATTTTAGTTACAGAACGCCCGGGTCTCCTCCGCTCCTCGCGGGCCCTTCTCGCTCGCTCCCTCGCTCTCTCGCTCCCTCCGAGTTGGCCGCCCGGGCGGCTCAGGCGCTGGGAGCGCACAGTCTCCCCGGTCCGGATGAGTCCTCTCTCCACCAGCCCATTGTCTCTCCCTCTGCCCCCCGCTCCGCCTCGCGGCCTCTCTCGCGTTCCTTCTTTTATTATTATTGTTATTATTACGAGTATTATTGTTGTTGTTATTTCATAGTTGGTGGCGGGGACCCGGGGAGGGAAGGAGGGCGGGCGGGCGGGCGGGCGGGAGGAGGGCGGGGGAGGGAAGAATG